AAAAAAAAAATAAAATAAAACACATATAAAATACAATAAAAAATTCATCATCCATATTCCTTATAATGGAAGATAATTAATGAGATATAGAAATATCAATTAATAACTTTAAATTTTCAAATTGAAATGGATGACACAATAATAAAAAATAAGGTTGAGCTTAACTCAACTAGTTGACATGCATATCTTCCACTGACCAAAAGATTGTGAGTTCGAATTTCCAATTCTAAATTTTGTACTTGTATTCAAAATAATAATAATAATAATAATAATTAAAACATGGGCAATATGGTAACAAAAAGGCCGAAATTTTCTTAAATTGGGTGTGTGAAAACATTTAAGAAAAACTAGTTTCTTTTAAGGCACGCTAAAAGTTTTATTTCTGTTTAATCAAGTGGGATTTTTTTGTAGATGTTGCAAATTTATTCATCATTTCAACTTGATGTTATTGCTTGCATATATACCTATCGTTGGACGATTCTATAGGTAAAAAATATACTAATTTTCTACAAAAATCAGATTTTTTTTAATAAAAAATTGAAAATATGAATCTGGAAGAAACAATGAATTTACTTAGAGAACTCAAAGAAAATAAACGGAAAAATAGGTCAACACTTTGATGAAAAATTTGATTATAATCGCCAGGTCTTTCTTTTTGGCATGTGGTGTATGTTTAGTATTATCTCTATCTAAAAAAGGGGGAAAAAGAGAGATTTTCAATTTCCTTTTCCTTCTGTAATTTATTATTTTAGGGAAAAAGATTATACAAGGTATCGAACCCCGTGCCTCTCACATGCAAAGCGAGCACTCTACCATTTGAGCTATATCCCCATCTTTTGTTTTTACCTTTTCTACTAGAAATTTTAAGTGCAACCTTTCAAATCACTCGTAATAGCATTAGAAATTAAATCATTTTTCTATCAACTAAATGTAGGTACAGAGATTTGAACCTACGATCTAAAAAAGAAGTGAATGCCTTTACAGCTAAGTTAGCCTCATGTTGGTATAAATTTATTAAATATCAATGTTGATAGAAATGTCTCATCTTAATTTAATAGAAATATCGATAGATTGAAAAATAAGCATTTTGCCTATTTTAAAAAGTTCAAAAATTACCAACATGAGCATAGCTCAACATTAATTGACATTTCTCTCGAGGGTAAGGGTTCATGTTAGGATAATAGAGCTAAAACAGATGACTCGTGTCCTACGAGGAAAATGATTTTCAACACTACTACCAACTCCTACAAGAAGTAGGATATTATTATCTTATAAGGATTACAATATTGTTTTCCTATAATGATTGATAAATTTGACCTCTTATAAATAGAACCATTTTGTTAAGGTTTCATTTGTACAGAATCAAAATAAGAGAAACCTGAGTGGTTGTAGGCAGTGTGTGAAAAAAAGGAGTCTGTATCTCGTGGGTTTAGTGAGGGTATTTTCAATTGTGTAATCCTAAGCCGCCATTGTTAGGCTACTTAGAAGCAAGATAGTAATATCTTGAGTGAGATCTCTATTGTAATATTCCCAACTATAGTTGAACCTGCCTTTTCGCAGAAGACTAAACATAGTCCCAAGATAGGGGCGAACCAGTATAATCCCTATCGTGTTAAGCTTTTCTATCGCTATCTCTTATTCCTTTGTTATTGTTACTTACTTATCTGCTTTTAGCCTGTGGAAGGAGAAAATCAAATACTTCATGTTTGAAGAACTTATAGAAAGATCGATTGGTCTATATTTTTTTCTCAACAATTTGGTATCAGAGCGTTTGGTTTAGAGATCATGAGATCAGCAGAGAAGTCAGGTTTTGAAGGAATCATGAAGTTCGATGGGGCCAATTTTGGATATTGGAAGATGCAGATTAAGGATTACTTAACCTGCAAGAAGTTGAATAAAGATATAAAAGAACGACCAGCAGGGATGAAAGATGAAGATTGGGTAGAGACGAATGAATAGGTAGTTGCCTTTATCAGATTGTGTTTGTCGATGAATGTGGCAAGTCTCGTATCAAACGAAACGACAACAATAAATCTGATAAAATCACTGGAGAATAGGTACGAGAAACCCTTAGCTAATAATAAGGTATATCTCTTAAGAATATTCTTTAACATTCAAATGGAAGAGAATACTTCTGTCAATTCCCACATAAATGAGGTCACAAAATTATTCAATTAATTGGCATCAGTTAAGATTATTTTTAGTGACGAAGTGAATGCTATTCAGTTGCTAACATCTTTACCTGAAAGTTGGGAAACGATGAAGACAGTAGTGTCCAATTCGTTAGGAGACAAATCTTTGAAATTTTTAGAAATTTGTGATGCAGCAATTGCTGAAGAAATTCGCAGAAAGGGGAATGGAAAAGAATCTACTTCCAAACAAGACTCAGCATTGACTGTCGAAAAAGGTAAAGAGAAGGTTGCGTCTGATGACAAGCAGAAGCATAGTAGGAGAGATTGGAAGAGAGATGTGGAATGTTTTCACTGCCACAAAAAAGACCACATCAAGACTGTAGAATATTAAAAGGGGATCTGAAAAAGTATATGGCAGAGACAAATGCAGTTGTAGATGATGCTCTCGTCTGTGTTGAAAGCAACACAGAAACATGAAACCAATAAAAGATTATTCACATCATTTAGAAGAGGCAATTGCGACCACATGAGGATGAGGAAAGACTAAAGGGATTGGAAATATACGATTGAAGACAGATAGTGGGACTGAGTTATTACTGCGAGATATCAGGTATGTACCCAGTATCAGAATGAACCTTATATCTACAGGTAAGTTGGACGATGATGGTTATCAGAGTGAGTTTGGTGGGAACCAATGGAAGCTCATCAAAGGATCCAAGTTGATGGCAGTTGGCCATAAACGATCTACAGTTTACACGTCGCAATTGAGTGTTGTCAGAGGATCATTGAAACAACGGATGCAAGTTGTAGATGGTATCCAAAGAGGTAGGACTAAGACAACAATCAAGACAACCAGAACAGATTAGGAGGATTTGACATCAATTCAGGAATAACAATTGGGAAGTCAAAGAACGAGAACAAGTTCTTTAGGTTGTTAGAGATTATCCCCAGTTGTCAGACGAATGAGTGAATTGATAAAGTCGCGTAAGCAAATAGTTGCATCAGAGAAGATGAACTCAGTAGGTGCTGAGTAAAGAATGAAATTTCAATTCTGGCAGTAAGCTTGAATAGAGTTGTCAAGTCATCAGTAGGAAGTTCTTTCTTCAAGAATTAGTGTTTGATAACGAAGAAGGAAACTTCAAATATCGCCACTTAGTTTGAGTGGGAGCACGTGGTTGTGTCTCTTGCGTCCGGGAGACAAGACCACGTAGATTGTCCGACCTCAGGGTAAAGACAGATGAGACCAGTTATTCCGGATATTTTGTTTTACAAGTTTTTAAAACTTGCACGAGAAGTCTTGAAGATTTTTTCAAGAAGATCAAAAGTAGTTGCAGAAGAAGCCTTGGAGTTTTCCAAGATTATCAAAGACTGTTGTTGCAATGGAAGACAATATCGATGTTTTTGTCTCCAAGTGGGAGATTTTTGGGATGATGGATCCAAAACAAATGATCCATGTCCTACGAGGAAAATGATTTTCAACACTACTACCAATTCCTACAAAAAGTAGGATATTATTGTCTTACAAGGATTACAATATTGTTTTCCTATAAGGATTGAGATATTTGACCTCTTATGAATAGAATCCTTTTGTTAAGGTTTTCATTTGTACAGAATCCAAATAAGAAAGACTTGAGTGGTTGTGGACAGTGTGTGAAAAAAAATGGAGTCTGTATCTTGTGGGTTTAGTGAGGGTATTTTCAGTTGTGTAATCCTAGGCAGCCATTGTTAGGCTACTTAGAAGCAAGATAGTAATATCTTGAGTGAGATCTCCATTGTAATATTCCCAACTATAGTTGAATTGCTTTTTCGCAGAAGACTTGACGTAGTCCCAAGATAGGGGCGAACCAGTATAATCCCTGTGGTGTTAAGTTTTTCTATTCCTCTCTCTTATTCCTTTGTTATTGTCACTTAGCCTGTGGAGGGAAAATCAAATAGTTCTTGTTTAAAGAACTTACTGGAGGATCGATTGGTTTATATTTTTTTTCCCAACAATCATTGTTGGGTTTGTAAAGAGTGTAAACAAAGTCTCACATTAGCTAGGGGAAGAGAATGATTATGGGTATATAAGAAAGGATAATTATCTCCATTGGTATAAGTCCTTTAGGGTGGAACCAAAAACAAAACCGTGAGRGCTATGTCCAAAACGGACAATATCATACCATTATGGAGATACTCGAGATACAAGGGGTACCGTTGTCCTTAACAAGTGGTATCAGAGCCATGTAAACCTAACTTCTCTACCTCTCCTAAGAATATCTCATTCTCTCTCACATTCTCCTAACAATAAACTTTTGTGGATCTTTAATAATTTAATAAATTGGATAATAAAAAATAAAATACTGCCAACCATTTTTACGGGTGTTGTAGGGTGCTAACACCTCCCCTACACACAAGTCACTCCCGAACTGGATCTAATTTATGCAGACCAATTTGCTTTTTCTTCTAATTGGGTGACCAATCACACCCTCAACATGATTGGTGRCGACTCCAAAATCTTTTATTTTAAGAGACTCTTAAAAGAGGATGTCGGTGGCTCTGCGTCGCGATCACATTGCGACACTCGAGGTTCTTGGGGTACCGTTGTTCTTAACAGTTCAATCCCTCGTATCCCCCAATTATTGTACAAAAAAAGTTTAAAACTTCTCGTCCACCTTTAATAATATTTTGTTGATATATGTTCACCTTTTTATGTTTTCAAACCTAGAGACATATAAAAACATATCGATCTTCAAGTTATATATATATATATGATCTAGTTTTTTTTCTTTGGGATTAGTATTTTGGGTGTGATATGATATCGTGTGAATTAAAGAAGAAAGAAAAGAGTGTTCATATATAACACATATGAATAAAAATTCCGACAATGTTGAATCAAATCCGACAGAAAGTCAACATCTGCCAGCACATAACTTTATTTTTTAATTAACACACAACTAGGTTAAACCCTAAACCCATCATCTGATTATAAAAAACACAAATAAAATGTGTGGAGGTTTACAAATCAAAACCACCATTAATTTAAGTAGCAAGTAAAAAAAAAAAAAGTCATGAAGAAAAACAAGAAGATGACCATATCAAGATCAAGAAATTCATCGTTTGATCCGAAGAAGCTGAATCCCTTCTTGGTTTGTGTCATTTCTCTTGCCATTTTCATTCCATCAAGCTGCAGTGATCTCTCACCTCCAACCTTGATCAACTTCGGCGACTCGAACTCCGATACCGGCGGTGTTCTCGCTGGCACGGGACTCCCGATCAGCCTCCCCCACGGCATTACGTTCTTCCACCGTGGCACCGGGCGGCTCGGCGACGGCCGCCTCATAATCGACTTCTTTTGTGAGTTCCATATATGAGTAGGGTCTTTTTTTGGGTTTGTTTTGAGATTAGGGAGTGAAAAAAGTTTGATAAATGTTTTGGGATTCAGGTGAAGAGCTGAAATTGACCTATTTGAGCCCATATTTGGAGTCCTTAGCTCCAAATTTCACAAGTGGAGTGAACTTTGCAGTGAGTGGAGCTACTACACTTCCACAATTTGTCCCTTTTGCTCTTGATATTCAAGTTCGCCAATTCATTCACTTCAAAAATCGTTCTCTTGAGCTTCAATCATTGGGTATGTATGTTGTTCTTGTTTCCGGTTTCGGGTTTTCGTGGATTAGGTCGAATTAAAAGATGGGTTTGAACTCGTTTGAATGAGTTTGAGAGACAAATTTATCAAATTTGAACGATCTTAGATGGGTGATTAATTGGACTTAACCTAATCTAATTATATATTAGTATATTTAGGTTAGTTCAATTTGAGATATTTGCATCGTTGAGTTAGTTCAATGTTGAACTAAATAGTTTTGCGATATCGTAATATATAAAAAAAATATTTATGAATTATGGTTCATCTCTCGATCTCAGCAATAAAAATGAGAGGAAAATTAGACATTATATCTAAATATATGCTTGAGTTTGAGTTTCAAGAGTTTACAATGATAACGCAAAATTAATTTCAAGCGAATATATGAGCTAGTTCTCACCTGGTAATTGAGTCAGATTATTTAAACCAAAATTGACTCACACAAGTCTATAGTTCAACTAGATCTAAATGACGAGTTTGAGTGCTCATCAAGTCGATAAAATCTTTTCGGGTCATCAAAATTATTTGAAAACTCGAAGCGTAAATTGCGGCAGGTTATAAAAGAGAGAATTACATGATGGATGAAGAAGGTTTTAGGAATGGTGCATACATGATTGACATTGGACAAAATGATCTGTTGGTTGCCCTCTATGCGTCAAATTTAACCTACAAACCAGTGGTCCAAAAGATCCCTTCTTTTGTTGCAGAGATCAAGCTGGCCATTCAGGTGAAACTTCTTCCTCTTTTCCTTTCATAATTCGACTTCTAAAATATTACAAATTGCCTTCTGTTTTTTGAATTTAATATAAAGCTTCTTGACAAGGAATCATGTGAAGTATTTTTTAATGTGCAATTGAGTATTCTTGGTCTTGAAGGAATCATTTTATTTAATTTTTCCTCCCATTCTTTAATCTTTCTTTAGAAAATGAGTTTGTATGGTGTCATTGTTCTTATGGTCATGTTCAATGAAATCCTAGTCAAATTTATCAATTTAAAAACTTAAAAAGAAGAACTTTAATGTTCCAATTAATGGCCCTCACCTTCCTTAGTCCAAATCTGATAGTTTTGGGCTATAGGAATTCTATTCTTAAGCTACTTAAAGAGCCGGTAATATTTCGTTTTTCTGTTTAAAATTTTTGAGAAATATAAACGTTTTGTAACTGCTCATGTTTCTCGTTTTTTATTTTTAAGAAATGTTTTTAAAATTGTGTAAAAATTTGGAAAACAACCAAATCAAGTTTATTGTTCTAAACCATCATCGACGGCTCATTGGTCCAAAAAGCATTGAAAGGGGATGACTAGGTTCAAATCTCATGATATAAGCCACTTACCTTAAGAATAAAAAAATTCTTATTTGTTTTTTGGCACCAAATATTGTAGGGTCAGACGGTTGCCCCGTTAGATTAGTAAGCGAGCCCAGACACACTCACAGATTTAAATTTTTTTTATTGTTCTAGTTTTTTTCCATAACACAGATAAAAAAAACATTATTTTTATCATTTTTATTTTTTAAAATGCCTAATATATATCAAAATAAATAAATGTAACATAAAAAATTTGAATATTTACTTTGAAAAATTAAATTTCACATATAACTTTTATTTTTTTAATCTAAAATTTCAGAGAACAAAAAACACGGAAGGATTACCATAAACATGTTTTTGTTTATTTTTTCAATAAAAAGTAAAGAACAAGAAACAAGTACTAAATTTGGTTACGTTTTTCTTGACTGAAAGAGAGGGAGCGAGAAACAAAAAATATCAAACTATAAAGAACAAACGGTAAGGTTACCAAACATAGAAATCTAAGCAAATTTGTTAAGAAACCTAAGCATTTCACAACTATTTAGGTTTCTTATTTCTCGTTTTTTAAAAACATTTCTCAAAATTGTATAGAATTTCTGGAAACAGCAAGAACAAATTTCCTTCCTTCTTGTTCTCATTTCCAATTTGTTCCACGTCACAAACAGAAATATGTTTTATCAATATTCTTGAATTCATGGGTGTTGAGGTCATGCAATTCTATTTTTCTCTATAATTAAAAAGAAGGAAACAGAAACAAAAAATGGGAATGTTATTGGGATTATGGAGCCAAAACAGGAAACCATATCCAATTAAGAAAAAGATTTTTCAACACTATTACCAATTCCACCAATTTCTACTGGGAGTAGGATAATATTGTTGACTTATAAAGATTACAATATTGTTTTCGTATAAGAATTAGGATATTTGGCTTCTTATAAATAGAGCTTTTGTGTTAAGGTTTCATTTGTACAGAATCCAAATAGAAGGGACTTAAAGAATTCTGTATCCGGTGGGTTTCGTGAGTGTTTTTCATTACTGTACCTAAGTATAGTGTGTTATAATACTTAGAAGCTAGAGGGCTTTTGTTGGGACCTCTAGGGGATATTTTTGGGGAGAGTTTTGTATTCTAATCCTTAAACAATTATTAGTGAATTACCCACATCTGAGTGGAAGACTGAACGTAGCCCTTAGTGGTGAACCAATATAATTTGATGTGTCGTTATTCTTGTGCTTTTACATTTTTCTTCTTATTTCCATATATTTTGGTTGTGTTTGGATATTTCTGTGGGAGGGGAAATTATTCACGGTCTTCAATTTCCCAACAAATGTTACCAAACGGACCCTCAAAACTGAATAGGAATACAATCTTAACCTAAATCCCAGCTCGTGAGTTCCCAGTAGAAAATTTCTCCATCTCGGGCTTCGTAATTTCTAGATTTTTTTTATCACTTTGTAATTTCTAGATTTGTAGTAATGAGTTAAGTGGTTATTGGATTAATATTTGCACACAGAATTTATATGGCAATGGTGGGAGGAAATTTTGGATACACAACACAGGACCAATTGGATGTTCTCCAAAAGAGTTGGCTTTGCATCCACACAACAAGAGGGACGTTGACCAAATTGGCTGCCTTAGGGTTCACAATCAAGTTGCCAAATCCTTCAACAAAGCCCTAAAAAATGTGTGCAAACAGCTCAGATCTCAGTTGAAGGATGCAACTATTGTTTACGTTGACGTATACACTATCAAGTACAATCTCTTCGCTCATCCCAAAACATATGGTATGATTTTTTTTATTATTATTTCACTTTTATATGTTATATATATATGTTAGTTAATTAATATGCAAAGTTAATGTGATATATATATGAGGATAAAACTTGGGTGAAGATGCTTAGTCCATAAGATGAGGCTTTTAGAAAGAGATAGAGAAATTAAAAAGCTATGGGATTTGACCCTATTAAATGTGACTAGATTTCATTAGTCTAAAGAAGGAATGGTCTTTGTCAAGCTAGCTAGCCAACTATTCCATGAGATAAGAGTTGAAAGATAAAAAGATGGGGCAAAAAAAATTAGGGTTGATCCTAATATATATACTTGATTAGAGTTGGAACTTAGAGATAAACACTAAAAAAGAAGAGAAAAATCAGGAAAAAAAAAAGGAAAAGAAGAAAAGGAAAAGAAGTTTGATTATATGGTAGAACACATTGACAAATTTTCTTGGCCTTGTTAGGGAAGTCAAATCTACAAATTCACTAGTAGGTTTGAAAATGGGAAACAAAAGAAACATAGGGTTTGATCTCTTCTGTGACTTTTAATTTCATTAGTCATTTTTAAGATAGGAAAATTTTAAGTTTAAATATTATTTTGGTTCATGTATTTTCAAAATGTCCATTTTGATTCTCGTAGTTTCAACTTTTGTCCATTTAATCCATGTACTTTTGTAAACTTCTTGTTTTGGTACTTGAACTTAAAAATAATGACTATTTAGGGTTCCTTTATTTTATTTTTATTAATTTTTGTAAAGACTAGGCACGATATTACACCCCATAAATTTCTAGAAACAATGTAGTTATAATTTTGTCTCAAACAAGACTGAAACAATCACTTTTTAAAAGTACAGAGATCAAAGCATAAATTTGCAGAAGTATCCAAATGATCAAAATGGACAAAAGTTGAAAATGCATGGACCAAACTAGCATTTAAACCAAAAATTTTGGTCCACTCGTTTTGTTTCGAAGCATATATGGAATAGAACGATGACGAAAGTGACAACGTGTTTGGTTTGTGAATTTACGAAGGGTTCGAGAATCCATTGATGGGATGTTGTGGGTATGGAGGGCCACCAAACAACTACAATGTGAAGGCAACATGTGGGCAACCTGGTTACTCCCTCTGCGCCAACCCTTCAAAATCCATAGTTTGGGATGGAGTTCATTTCACTGATGCTGCCAATCGCATTGTGGCTTCAGCTATCTTATCTTCCAATTTCTCTACTCCTAACCTCACACTTCACCAATTTTGGTTACCATGATTATTGTCATGTGTGTAATGTAACTCTTCAACTTAATTAATAATAATCAATAATAATCGTAAACTTAGTCTCTAAACTTTGATCGACATCGTGTCGTTTGTGTGAAAGACCCCACATTAAAAAGATGAGAGACATAACAAAGGTTTATAATATATATGAGGAGCTCATCTCATTGTCAATTGGTTTTAATATGGAACTCCATGAATATTGATATGATATCAGAATCCAAAACACTCAAACGAATATCTGGTCTAAAAATGGGATCCGACTAAGATCGATGAGAAAAACGTACCACGATCTTAAGGAGCATGTTAAGAATCTCACATTGAAAAGATTACTCTATTAGTTTCAAAAGAACTTTAGAATAGATCTGTATTTAGCCTTTGATGTGAGTGCCCCACCAGTATTTAGTTATCTGATCATATTAGAACTCGGTCAAAATTAATTTAATGGTCACACCGCAAATTAAATCAAGTTTTTTTGTTAATGTGGTATAAATGATGATGGATCTAGGGTGTGTTTGACATGTCTTTTGGATGACTAGGAGGGGATTTAAAAAATAATAATAACTCATTTTGTAATTATGTTTGGTTAAAGTTTAAAGAGTGTGGTAAAACGTACTTTTGATTAATTAAAATTGTTTCTTTACTTTTTTTGATAATCAAAAGTGGTTTGAAAAATCCTAAAAACATATAAAATTTATTTAAAATGCTTCTATAGAAGTAAGCTATTAACTGATGTAATTTCTATATTAAAAGTGTTTATATAATAAATAATTCAATTAAAAACACTTTTTTCAAGAAAAAGCATGGTAAATTTACCTAAAATAGAAGGACGTTTATTTCTTTCTCTAATCTCACATACGGTTGCACGTAGTAATACTAATACATATTCTCACTTTTGTTGCTCTCCACGGTGCTTTCAGACTAATAGGTTTCATGTTACATCAATTTGAACTTGTTCGGTCTGTTCAATTGCGATCTTATATTGCAATCGTTTCATTAACTCCTAATTCATGTCGAGTAGACCTTGTTGTTGCGAGAATTCTTAATTTATGAGTGGTAGGGAGGGACTTATGTCACTACTGACAGAGACTAAAGTAGGGTTCAATTTTTTTTTTTAATCAATTAATCGGTTTTTTTTATAGGAAAAACGGAAACTACCTTTTGGAACTCCATCTTTTCATTTTCATTTTAGTAACCATTCTTGCCTTTGGTAGCATCTGGTTGTCAGTCAGTTTATGCATGGTGAAAGGGAGCATTAGAAGGGTCTTAGCTCCAAAATATTCAAACGAAGGATGTCGTAGTCGCAGAAGCGCCGGATCAAAATCATGACAACGGCATTCTGGAAACCCCTCTAGTGGGAGCAACAAAGGCAGGTACTGTTAGTTGGGCGGATCTGTGATTAGTCAAGGCAACCGAGAGGACACATACCCAATTAATTTCAATCAAATAAGTAAGTCGTATCTTGCTCAAACCGAGTGCAGAGCATATAACTACTCAAAACATCTAAGTAGTTGAGTACTTAAACATAATTTTTTTTCCTTTCTCTAAACATAACCATTGTTTTTAGTACATTTTTAGTACAACAAATGGGGTGGAGAGATTCAAACTTATAACATCTTAGTCAGAAACATGTATCAAAGCCATTGTGGACCTAATTATATGATTTTAATAATTTATAAGATATGCTTCACTTGTTAATGTGCCATATAATGTTAAAGAGGACTTGCATTAAATCACAAGATTACATATGTGCTTCCAAAAATATGAAAAAAGGTATGATATCTAATTAGAAGACAACACCACATCCACATTATTTATAAGAAAGTAAAAGGAAAAGGCATGTTTTCAATTTACGATCATTTCTAGGATAAATATGAAACCACAAATTTATAATCACTTGAATTTACACATATTGAAAAGAAAAAGATTTGCTCGGATCCCAAGAGCATATTCAAAGTACTAAGCTATCTTCAATAAATCAATGTACCATAATAATGAACTCTACAAAAATGTCAAAATCAAACATTCTCCAAAACATTACCCACTATGGTCATAAATGTTTGGGGTACCCTACATTATAATGTGAATTGAAACCCAATAGTTGTTTACTTCGGAAATATTTCTATATATTCTCGATTTGGTTCTTAATCTTTTTAAATTATTTTCGATGTATTAAAAATTTTCAATTAGATCATTATGTAAAAATGTGGTTATAATTTATTAACGTAAAAGTTGATGGATCGTTAAATTATTTGATTTTTATAATTAGCATTTTCTAGCAAGATGTTCGGATGTTACTTGCTACATTGAAACCTAACATCTCAATCAACAAAATCTATTATTTCTTCCAATTAGATATATCTAAGTGGCATGCTCAATATGCCAATAGGTTAACAAAATATGTTTTTAAAAAAAGAATTAAAGAAATTACAATAAATATGTATTTACAAAAATATAATTAATTTTCTTCTTTTTTTAAATGTCAACAAAATTACTGTTGGCTGGTTTTGTTATCATATCCATGAAATGATTAAATTTACTATAACTCATCCTCATCAAATTCTCATTTTGTAAAATTTTGGACTATATATATCCTTACACTTTTTTTAATAGCCTAATTGAGAATTTTCCATACATAAAACGTAAACTTCTAAATTTTTAAAGATGTAAGACGAAATTGAGAATTGCTTTGAAGATTAGAACGACCTACCATAATGAATGGCTTAGATTTATTTAAAATAATCTGGCCATTGATCTTCTCTTGAACTGACATTTGTATTTCCCTTTGCCTCACAATTTACAATAATGAGAAAGGAAAAAAAAAAGCAAAGGGATTGTGCTAGACAAAATCATTCAAATGCATAGTGATTAA